AAAAAAAAAAAAAAAAAAAGAAATGATCTGCAACCGATGACGACCCATCGATCTTTAACTCTCGACTCGTATAACCCCAGTGAAGCATTGAGAGAGATCTAGAAAGAAAGAGAGAGTGCTGAGAAAATATCCGCAATCGGCCAGGCTATCTAGTACGGCTAACAAAGAAGCGGCGCAATTTCGGCCTCAAGTTGCGTGTTCATGGACGACGTTTGCTGCTGCTGCTGTTTCTGCTGTCCTCTGTGCCCATGCGTGCCTGAGTGCGTGCGTGCGTGTCTATAAATGCGTGCGTGCGTGCGGTGCGGTCCTGTGTCAGTGCGACGCCAGTGCCGATCCGATCCAAGCGCGAATGCGCATTCGTACGCCACGCATTCACTCGCTCTCTTTCTTTCTATTCTTTCCTCTCTCCCTCCTCTGAATCTGTCTTTCTCTTTCTCTCGTATTATCCAGCCCTTCGATTCCTTGATCGACTCTCTCTCTCTCTCTCTCTCTCTCTCTCTCTCTCTCTCTCTCTCTATCTCTCTCCTTCTTCACTTGTTACGACTGGACGAACGCACAATGCGTTCACGTCTGCAACCGTGAGCGAACGCACAAACTTGCACGGAACGGTCTCTGCTTTCTCACGATCTAACGTGGAAAGGGACTGTGTCCAGCCATGGCGTCGAAAGTAAAAATGTGAGAAAAGCAGCGGCCTCCGATACGCTGCTGCTACGTAAGTAATTGCGTACTACGTGGTCGAAAACATCTCGGAGTCTAACTAGCAGCTATCCAAACAGCTAACTAGGATATCTAGCAAGTGAGCGGCCATGTTACACGACGTTTCTCGTTTTCAAGTGTACGATTTGAAGAATACCGCGACCACTAATCGCATCGCACACACTACACATAATCACATGCACGACGCGTGCCACACCTCTCTACTTTCTTTAAGATCTCTAACGCTGTGGAATTGACATTCGACAGTCAAAGTTTTAGTTATTTTCAAAATTACATATACGAACGTCGATGCACCAGTGAAGTTGGACTAGTTTTTACCGATGCTTGACGAAATTCATAAACGAAATCCCCTTTTATTTCGCATGAAATTCATTCGCCAAGCAGACAGCGAATCTTTGGGTTTGTTATCTTCTTCTTATCGTACGTCAACAGAAATATCGTTTTTAATATGAATTATTCAAGAATCGTTCGGGACTTTGTGTACTCTTGAAAATTAATGCTGTACGTAATTATCACGTAAACGTACATTTATTCTGTTTCTTTACTCCTGAGCTCAATTCAAAATTACGTTTTCACGCAATCTTTCCACATCATTGTAATTTCACAGATTCGATAAAATCACATATACTATCATTCTGTTATCTTGTTACTTGTCTTTTTCTAGTTTGATCCTATCGTTCAGCCCGGTCTTCTGCTCGTGTTTACTCAAAAACCTTGTTGCAACACTCGCTTCTTCCCCTTGCAGTATTTATCGTCTGCTACATATCCAATCTTTCAGAAGTAACGTTAAATTTGTCCTCAAGAGACTTTTTACTTCTCCCAGAGTCTATAATACGTTTTTACTTTGTGTCACAATGATTTTTTCCCCCTTTGTCACTCTGGCCATTTTCTCACCGTGTTTTGATGAGCGGTTTCGCTGCGCTTATCGCTATGATTTTCCTATACTGGATTCTTATCTACACTCACGTTTCCATTGTTGAATCCAAGTTTCTCGAATCCGCCTCCGTGCCATTTCGTAATTGCACCAGGCCTCGTACAATCGTCCAAGCGGAAACATTTGTAACATCGAACTCCTTAAGCTGGTCTCTTTCACTCTGAGAAAACTCGAGGCACCTGCCGACCTCACCCGGTACATAAGGAATAATGGCGGCATGCTTCTAATAACGTTATAAGGATATATTATACGACATGTGCGTGTAAAGCCTCATTATCGTTCTTACATCGCATACCGTATCTCTCGTATCAGCTGCGCCTTCGGTACCAGCCAGCCAGCAGCAATGACTTCCCAATCGTATTCTAAATAACTCCCAGTTACCTTCCTGCACACGCGTTTCGCAATTCGATAAGTGTCCTACGCAGGCGGATATAAAAAAAAAATGAAGCAACCGCGTCGCCTCGACAAGGTCGTTCGAAAAATCGAGCCTCTTCACCGCGTAGCGGCCTTTGTGTTATTAAGGTTGAACTCGGACCGGGTGTGAGTCGTTTGGTTCGACTTTGCCAAGGTCGAAAGTCTATACAACCTTGCGGCACTACCAGGAGCAAATATAGATATACGTACACGCGACGCGGACTAAGCACAGAGAGAAAGACGAAACTGGCGGACATCGACGTCCTCCTTGTGTCTCCTCCCTCTCTCCCTCCCTCTCTCTTTCTCTCTCGCACACACCAACGACTCCTTTTCCGCAATGGTACTTTTGGCATTGGAACGCTGCCGGGAACGTTTTTTTTTTTGTCGCGTCACCTACTGCTGTGACCTTTTTTCTTCTCCTTCTTTTATCTCCCTCCACCACCAGGACTACTTCCGTTTTGCAATTCATTTCTCTCTCCTACCGGTTCACTCGAAGATGAATAAACTGCTGCTGTCACAGTCTTCTAGACGCTCTCCAATAACCACCGAAGGTTTTCTCGTCGACCGACATATTTGTTTTCACTTTCGTTCCTACTGGCGCGCTCTTTATATAAATTCTTCATTCGAGTCGTCATGTTGTGTCGAGAGACCTCTTGCGTTCCATATTGTTATACGTTGGCAGTGCGATCGCTGACATTGTAGGTTAGGTTAGACGATTTTTCTGCGCTCCTGTTTTCTTTGTTTCTTAAATATCCCAGCGCCTTCTGTAGTAATCGTTTCGTGCCGTACCCGACGGGAGGGTATAACAAGAGCCCGGCACGTTGGAAAGCCAGGGTCTGGCCAATGTGTACAAATGGTGCGGTTTATTTTATTTCTATCGCCCGATTGGTTATCCGTTACGGAAGCGCCTTTAATGCGTATGCAGGAATCGAGAAATCTGACCTCGTCGACTATGTATTCCCGACACGTGGAAATGTACATTTGCATTGTCTTTCTACGTTATTTCTAAGTTGATCGCGCGACGGGTGCTATTATCGACTGAATAGATTTACAAATTCTTTGTGCCTTGTTTACGAGACGTCCTCTCAGGTGTTGCACTGAATTTTACTTGGAATATTGCTCCCTGCGTACGTCGGTCGACACTCGTAGTTTCTCTGAAAGTCAACGAATGAGTCTGCTCGATAGGAAGAACATTGTCATTGCCAAAATATACGTAGTGGTGCATCGCACAACGAGCGACGAACTGTCAATGAGTAAACGCAATGCCGTTCAGCTCGGCATCGTAAGTTCCTTCAAAAGTTTCGTCAGTTTGCTGCGAACTGTTATCGGAGCGCTATCTGTAAAAATATTCCCGTTATTAAAGGTAAATATTAATGCACGGCAACTTATGACAGTTGCAAGTATACAGTCCGGTTCACTTGAATCATCAGTCTGTGGATTTTCGTCATTGACTTCTGTCGCGATCGAAGTATTATTGAGAGTACTCGTCCTGTGTATTTGCTCTCGTATAAGACGTAGACACGTAGACGTAGGACAGCGATTGCTTCTTAAACAAATCGATAGCTAAATACTTGGAGAATATAGAGGGAAATCACCGTGGAAAAGAAATTTCGCGTGCACGCAGTGCCTCGCGTCGCATTTAGGTAAATTGGTTGAGAATACCGTTGGAGCAGTCGATCATGTTACTGCGCATGCGCGTCAACGCTATGGCTACTTCCCGCCAGTCCAGACGGCGTTTACATTCGTAACGTCTCCCCGACAAACTCCTGGAAATCTTGCAACGTTTTTCCGTCGTAGCTTCGCTTGAACTTTAGAACTTAGTATAGGAAACAAAAACCGAGGAGCCCCTGATATGTAATCGGGAAACGCGTGTGCGTCACTCTGCTCGCGTTGGCCGAGTCAATCGTCGAGGGACAGCAGCGTGACGAGACAAGAGTGAACGGAACGAGAAGAGAGGGAGATTCTTAACGCGAAGAGTGGGAAAGTCATACGCATATATTACCCGCACGTGGATCAGTCAGAAACTCTTGGTGCGTAGGGACAAAGGAATGGAGGAGGAAGAGTGAAGGTTTATTGTCGTTAAAAATTACGAGCGTATACCTTATTATCGATCAGCCATTGTTCTTGCTTTAACAATTTCACCGCCAGCCAATTTAATCCCGGCCGAATCTCTAGGGCGCATTGAAATTTTCGTAACTTGTTTTTATCCTCGCTTTCGTATATACGACAATATTTTTACTTATATTTTTCTAATTCTCATTCGGGATGACGGCCCTTTCAGGCTTACGACTCCATTTTCTTTGTACAATGGGATTCGTGTTATTCTAACGTTTCCATAACGTTGTCTTTAATTAATAGCGAGAGTGGCGGCGGAGGGAAGGTGAACCAGATATTTATTTTGTGCGCAATTAATACTGTTGCCAGTGTCAGTTGAAAATTTCGAGAGCTTTTTCATTGTTTATCGATTTTCCTACACGGCTCAAGTTCGACGCGAAGTTTTCTTACGATGATTCGTCATTGTCGATCGTACGGGATTCTTTTCGAATGTAATACGGGAGTATAATTGTTGCGTCTTACGGACAGGTCCCGACGCGCAGTGTTCCTTAATATAATTATTGTAACGATACGAGAAATCCCTATGTTCCGTTAATAACAACAGAAGCTGGACACGAGGCGTTTGTTATTTTCATCGTAAATCCGTCAGGCGCATTGGCAACGGTCGTACTGCGAAGAATTAGAAATAAAAGAGGAGACAACTCGCCCATTCACTTCGTCTTTTGGCTTCCTGTCAAAGTCACTATGCCACGTGTATTCGCGCATACTCTCTATACTCTCGTGAAGATTCGGCTTTATTCCTAGACGTAAAGAAGGTACTAGCGGACGGAACTAGATTGACTTTACTATAGTACGTGTACGTAGGCGCTCTGTCCGGTAGCTGGCGCTTATTAGAGATTCTTTAGCATGTAAATTTACTTGCTTAGCCAGTAGAGGGAGTACCTGGACGTTCCGAGAATTCCTAGTCGACAGTCGTACCAACCGATTTCGCATGATGAATATTCGACAATTTACTTATCACGAAAGTTCGTACCAGCCGGGAGGAACCCATAGGTTATGGGAAGATTGCGTGAGGGTGTTCAACTCGCACGGTTTGCCCATCGGTCTTTGTGGGAAAAATCGCAAAATCATTGTTTTCGCTGGAACTCGGGAATCTTGTGCAAGACAATCGTATTTGCTGTCGCGCAAGATTGCGACAGATGCGCAGCCGTCGGAAATCGGGTGCTGTTAATGCGACAGGAATACCGACGGTAAACAGAGACGGGTGGGCTCGAGGACCGAGTCAACGCTGTCGATTCTATTGTTGAGGTTTAAAAGACACAGTGACTGTCCAAATTTCTCTGGTTATTCCGACGACGGGGAAGTGCCGATGCACCCTTGCTGTAAACAAACCTGTATTTCGTTGTTTGCGAATTCGTATCTTGGATGCTTACCAAGTGTATCTTTAGAGGAAGGAGATTCATTCTGTGCAGTTGGTATTTCTTTATTGTGATATATCGGTTTTAGATCACTGCCTTCGAAGGGACCTTGGCCAGGCTTACCAACTTGCAGAGTAAAGGTTTAAGAACGTCGTACTGTGGCATACAATGCACTTTTGCTTGTTTATTATTTTTCAACCAGTCAACATGACTTGAGAATTTTTTCTGTGTATGGACACGTGTTCATTGACGTTTCAGACACGTGAAAATTTCTACGTCTCTCCAGAAGGACTTTGAAGCATGTTGTTACTCACGTCTGGGTGTCGTACGAAATCTGCCTCTTATCGTGATTCTCCGAGGGAAACTCGAGCTGGCGTTGGAACGGTCCAGGGGAGGTGAAAAAAATTAGGCCTAAAAGAGTTTTCAAGGATGTTTTTACTTCTGTAGAGAGATTGCGAGGATAAAGACAGAGTCGCCCTATATCCTTGCGCTATTTGTTTCTTCTACTGTGTTCGAGCCAGCAATTTGTCCTCCGTCTCTTCACTGCCAATTCTATTAGCCACGTGTTCCACGGTCAGTGTAGGGTTTCACCAGCGGTTGCTTAACCGTGCCCGTAATACAACCAGAGCGCCACGTCCCACATAAAGGGGACCGTGCCTTTTTCGAAGCCCCGGTACACCCTGATCGACGTTTAATTCTAGTCCTCCGCAGGAATCGATCTAGTAACGCTTTGGTAAGGTTGTTCTCTCGATCTCGTAAAAGTCCCTGTTAACGTTCCTGACTGACGTTACCGTGCTGTACAGTGTGGCGATCGAAATGCCTCTGTAGGGTCGAACGAAACTGTAGCGCACGTGGTCGCATGCAACGCCGTGCGTACACCTTGTCTCTCGCACGTGTACGCGTGCACATGGCGCGAGAGCGGGACAGAAGGCAGGCAGATGGAAAAGAATGGAGGTTATTGACCCTATGGGATTTATACGTCATTCCTTCCTTTTCCATTTTTTTTTTTTTCTTTTCACGTCGATTAGGTATACGACATGACGAAACTAAGCGGCCACGGAGGAGCGATGGCCAGTGTTTGTCTCGACGCGGAAGGAAAGGATTGCAGGAATGTTTTGAAAGATTCGAGTAAATCCGTCGTGACGATCGGTAGGCGCCTCTCATTGTCAGCCGAGTCAGCGGGCTGGGTTTTAAAGAGCGACGACTTACGAAGCTCACTGAAAGTTGAAATTTTAGATAAGGAGTCTGGCATTTACGAAAACAAAGGGGGACGTGAATTTTGACGAACGGGATGTTCGTATTTAAAAGTGCATAGTTACCTTAATACCGGTCTGTAATGTTTTATCTCGGCGGCGTCTCACGTACTCGCAGTTCCATTCGCATTAGTTGAGGGAATCCGTGAAGGAGAAGAGATTTTACCGTTAGCCCCGAGAATCAAGCTCGAAGGATGGAAGAAGGACTCGGCGTTTATTACATGGGCGTAAGCAAGCGTGGCGTCTCAGCATGAAGCCAACCCGGGATGGTCGCCTTTAGATATTATTTTTATGTCCGATCTCAATGATAAATTCACGAAACTCGCGTAATATTTTTGGAGATTTTTTTTTTTTTCGGAATCATGTCATGAAACTTTTAAAGGCATTTTAAAGCGTTAGCTGTGGCATTTTTAAGTGGCCCGGTCGGTAACCAAGATCTCGGCATACGCGGAGACACGCTCTTACCTAAGAATCACATTGGCACGACTCGTGTAAAGGAACCTTTAAGCGCGTGATGCGAGGATTGGCCCGTGTGAAGTCTTCTCGACTATTGGGAGCTACGAGTGCGCGCACTACGATGCCGACGCCTGCGCTCATCGTGCGATGCCACCACCACCTCCGTGGCAGCTCCTTTCCACGGCAGCCCGTGTTCATCCGCCGTATCGTTCGTTGGATCCGCTTTAATTTTCGATCTCTCCCTGCTGGCCCTCTTATTTCCTTTCTCTGACGCACCCTCTGTCGGCACTCTTTCTATCTCTACGAGGAGCGAAGGAACGAGAGAGCGAGATAAACAGGACCGTCAGACACGTTCCTAAGGATGCACAGGTAGCGTTCGTTCCTACCGGAGAGGCAGTGGGCAAACATCCCAGATACGTAAACGTTTGGTCAATGGGACGTTGATGCAGATAGGTAGACCAAGTGTCGACCCAGGCGTTTCTCGTCTCTTTAAGAACCAGCTGCGTTCGCGCCAACTCGCCCTTCGAAACGACCTTGTCAGCCTCGGTGTCTCGTAACAAGATTCCACGGATAAAACTGGAGTCGGGCTTTGCATCGTGATTGATTTATTCTTCATCCCTTCATGATCAGCCACGTTCCATTTTTATTTCAGGCTTCTTTTTCCGCTATTTCACATTATTTGTGCTGTTACGACGGTGTCTCTCATTTTCTGTAATATTAAATGAAAATTCAATGACGTCAACGCAGCAGTATATGTAGACTGGGTTATCTTTTGTAGAGACCTTGACGGACATTTGCCAATGTAATGCCGTTACTAGATATTCTGGGCCAATCGTTCCTCGGATAGACAAAGATTGCATTAGGCTCTGGCATATTGCATATGCCAGAACTATAGAAACGTGTTATATATACCATACGTCATCAGTGTACCGACCGTGCAAGACAGTTTATTGGATTTCATTTTTGGATGGCTTTTGCTTCAAATCGAGCAGTATATATGTTCTCGGTAGACTACTAAGTAACTAAGAGACAAAAAAAATAAAGAAGTGGAATAAAATCAAGTATAAACTTATTGAACAATGGCTTTGTGACGTGTCAAGAATGACGCAGCAAATTTACAGTCAGAAGCTTGCAGATCAGTCAACTTGTTCTTATTTAAATTTCATACGAGCATATCACTGACATAAAGTAAGTAGGGACTGCTCGGCAAAGAGCTTGTCGAAAACAGTGTTCACATAATTATTCCACTAAAGTGCGCACTGTATTACCACACTGTAGCCTTCGTCAGACAACTGTAATGCACTATGAATTATATTTCGTACTCCTGTTAGATAGACCCTTGAGCCGCTTTTTGAACTTTCTTGAATGACCTCATTTTCTCGGGTCACGAGATCATGTGGTGCATCATACGCGCGACAAGAAGCGAAGTAGAATTCGAGAGAGCGATTATTATCGATCATGTGTCTCTCGCAATTGGGCCGCTAGTCTTTTAAAGTTCGAGCAGCGCGTTTCCCTTGGTTAAAGTACTTGCCGCAAAGTTCCAACGCGTGAGACATGGAGCTCGATGCGCGCGCATCGTACCTTTTAAACAGAACAGTGGCGCCATCTCTGCCACGATCGTATTATCTAAGCTTCAGAGCGCAGAACACTTTCAGCGTCGCTACCCGTAATCAGTAGCGGCACACTCTCGAGACGCCCCAAGTTTCACCAAGCTGAATGCGAGAATATTACTTTTAACACGAAGAAACAGCAGCTGCGACCGTGTCCACGAACAATATTCTGATTCTTTAACGCGTTCGGCTGACCTCACCGTGATCGCAGAGATTTGACCGCACGTCTGCATCAGGAAGCTCGAGAATTTCTCTATTATACACACGGTCCTGAGCGGGAGGGGTCAGCTGCGAGTCAGCAGTGCTCATTAATGCAGCGCCGTCGCTGCCACGGCCGTCCTTGTAGTCATCGCCTTCGTCGTCAGTGGTACCCCTTATGTTACGACTTCCTCTCCCATTTCTCTCGTTCTCTTTCTTTCTCTCTCCCCACTCAATCTGCGTATCCTATGCGCCCCCTCAATTCCTACGGCACTGGTCTGCTTGGGCACTCGAGTTCTTCGCTCCCAATTCCATCTGGCAGTGGCGACGGCCACCGGTACCGTAGAGCAAGGAGGGTCTTGGCAAGTTCACGTTTTCGGTAAAGGATTTGGCTCGTGAAGTGCGTGCGTGTACCAAGAAGAAGTTAGTAGAGTCGTGAGGTACACGGAGCTGCTGTGTTCCGTGGGCGTGAAAGATTGTGAGCACGGGTTCCGCTGTCGCTCGGACCGAGCTTCGTGTGTGTGCCGCTTCGCCAATCGCCATCATGAAAACATTCGCCCGTCGTGTCGTTATCGTTCCTCCTCCGTCCTTGTAGGTTCCTCGGATTGAAGTAATATCGAACGCTCGTATGCGAAGCTAACAGTGTGCCAGAATTATATTATTTTCGTGGTATTCTCGTGCAAAACGATTGATATCGTGCATTTTTGGGCGCCTCGGGGATACTCTGGCGATAATACGCAGAATAGAAACGTAGTTACGCGCGGACGATTACGCGAACGAACCTGTCGTGCACGGTGTTCGCCACCGCGACACAAGAGCCTACGTAAATGCTTCTGAGGCACACTTACTCCATGTCGTGCATTTGTTGCAATACGATTGCGTGCTGCCAAGTGAGTGAGTTTTGCATCGTGTTTTTAACCAGAGAGCACTACACCCTAGACCCTTATGTTCTCTAGGATTTATAATCTGCACCCTGTTTCTCCAACCTCGACATAGTGTTAGTGCGTGGGTGGGTGTATGTGTACGTTTTCTAGGTGTGCGCACCTTCGTTTTACGGGAGCCTCTGCAATGCTTGTGAAAAATCGAGAGTGGACTTTACCACCTTTCTTTGCCTTTCGCCATCTCGGTTTCTTAATTCAATGCGATTTTTATCTGGAATTTTACCTGTTGGCATCTGTACTTCATTCTACTGTTGCACGATGTAATTCATCGAGCGATACGATGAATTAATTCATTTTTAAGATGATGACCATTATCACGCTAATTCGATTGCCTAACGTTCGTTCTACGTCATGCAATGATTCATCATTACTCTACAGTTGAAAGAAATATTCCTTTTTTCTCTTCTTATCATAATCGCTTTTCTACTTATATTGATTCAGATGGTTATGAGTATTAAAATGTAAATTACTCTTCGACAGAGAAATTCTATGACTAGGATATGTGACAGTATTTTTAAGTATTTTTATAAAGAGAACCTTGCGAAAGATAGAATGGCTTGATCTTTGTTAGTGATATTTTCTAAATAACAGTGAAGTTAACTTATTTATGTATTTCTTCAGGTGAATCGTTGGTGACAGCTGGTTGTGGAGAAGCGATTGGAACTAGGACCATCGCACAAGACAACTGGTCAGCCATCACCGAGCTGACTACAGTTTATCACTGTTTCTCCAAGCAGCAAGCGCTAATAGGATATTCAAATAAGTCTGTTCGATCAAGGAGGATCGATCCAGAGAGACGAGAGTAATGGAACGCGAGTCAAACCCCATGCAAGCATTGTGCCGCAGTGGCTGTGGATTTTATGGCTCGCCAGCCACGGATGGCCTTTGCTCCCTCTGCTACAAGGAGAACCTCAAGAAAAAGCAACAACCCCCTGTCTCGACCACGACTGTACCGGCCTCGCAGACCGTCTCTGGTAACGCTGGCACGTTGCAAAGCGGTTTTGGCAGTCCTGCCTCCACAGGGCACACTGCCCAACCCACCATTCCTACCATACCTCAGCCCACAACGGATTTGCCCAGTCCCAAGGAGGTAAATTTATAAATCTCTTAATTCAAGCATTAGCATCCTTACAGAAAATATCAATCTTCCTTATTTTGCATAAATCCACATAGAGAATTTGCACAGTAGAATTTCATGATAGAAATCTTTAGGAACTTAGAAGACAGATTACACTCTACTCATGTCATGTACATGTCTCTGTATGTATATAGTATTGTTGTCATGGCAACCTAAAGAAACATTTTTGGCTACAACAAATTTTAGTGGATTATGGCCTCTGGGCTTGGTGCCTCATCCAATGGTGACCCAGTGCAGAACCCAGTAATTCTTTTCTATCGCTTAAGTTCCGGTACGGTCAAAATCACACATCAATTCGCGATTTCAATAGTGACAATAATATCGTTTGATAAATCCATTCGTTCAGTCTGCAAACTCTTAAAAGTAACCTAATTTTACACACGATGTATTAAATTTAATAATTTCTCTATATACTCAAAGAAACCAACAAGTGGTGATGACCTAATTTAAATCATTCATTAATTATTCAAAAATTGATATTCAAAGTTAAATTTTAAAGCGTGGTGTGTGATATTGTGATTTTTTAAAATAAATTGATCACTGACAGTTCTTTAGATTTCTATATTGTACAAAATTATCGGATATCAGTTTTCAATTTAATTACCGTCGATATAGTTGTTTAATATATAAATAATCAATGCTTTTTTTGTATACAACTTTTTTCTCACCTTTATTTGCATATCAACGCAGAACAATAATACCCAATGACATCACATGTTCCCACTTTTTAGATTAACCAAAATATACTTTATTACTAACAGATATTGTACGAAACATTATTCAGAAATCTAATTCAACTTCCATATAATATTGATTCAATTAAAATATGTCGAGAAAAATGCGAGAATCCGTATTTCGTTGAAAAATCTTATACTTAAAATTTTATTAAAAATACTCAACATCCATTGAAATTCATACAAAAGTTTTACGTCATTCTAATCCAGATAGTAAACTCTCTTATGCATAGTCGTGTCAGCAACTGCCAGGTACGTTCATCCATCATTCATCCATCCCCGTGACTGGTCTATTATGCAAATACTCACTTAACAACGAGAAGTCAATAGATTTTTGCGAAATGCGTCTCCTCTTCTGACTTGTAAATGTAATATTCACATTAAAATTGATTGATCCTAATTTCATAATCAGGTAAGCAGAGACGAACAGGAAGGTGAGGCAGGGGTCAGCAGTGGGGCGGCAGAAGGTTCGGTCAGTAGTGGCGATGCAGATGACTGCTTCGATGGCAAGGAAACAGATAAAGAGTCCAAAAAGAAGAAAAATCGTTGTGCAGTTTGTCGCAAGAAAGTGGGTTTGACCGGTAAGTGATTAAATGATTATGATAACGTTCAGAAAATGTTTCGCTGTTCAGGGCAATCATGATATTCTTCTTGATCGACAATCAGTATTGGTGTTATCACCTGATCGACAACTTGTGTATTTTCATTTCAGGATTCGAGTGTCGTTGTGGAGGACTGTTCTGCTCTGTGCACCGGTACAGTGACAAGCACGACTGCAAGTTTGATTACAGAGAAATGGGCGCCCAAGAGATTCGGCGCAACAATCCAGTTGTTGTTGGTGAAAAAGTGCAAAAAATTTGAACTATTTAGTGTGTAGTCGTTGGGAAAATGGTTATATAACTATATAAACAAACAAAATATAAAACACGGAGAAAACGAGATAAATTATCTGGCAGCTGATTGCACATCGGGGAATGAAACGAATGATCGAAAGATTATTGCGCTACGGGAGGGAACGAATGAGAACGCGGGAAAAAGCGAAATGAGAGAAAGTCAAATGTGCGTGAAAGAGTATGCAAGGGGAATGCTAGAAGATAATGGAATGACTGACGCAGAGAAAACGAGGGAATGAATTGAGCGGGGTGTATGAGGCAAAAAGAGAGAATGAGAAAGAATGACTGTGAACGAGAGAGAGGTTTGAGTGAGAAAAGTAAGAATCCAAAAGTGTGATTTAGATGGGAGAGAAAGAGATGAATGAATGCGTAGATGAATGATTAAAAAAATTGGATGCCAGTGCCATGTCAGATTGTCATCTAGTGAGAGTTTTAAATGAGAAAAAAAAATCTGGTTACTAACTGCTGCCAGCTTACTACTACTATTACCTATTATTATCTTTATAATTATTACGATTTATTATGATTATTATTATTATTATTATTATTCTATATTACGTTTATTAATTTACTTAAACGCAAAATTCGCGAATGAAAGAAGAAAAAAAAAACGTTTGTATTTAAGTAGACGCGGAATTCCTGGTGCAGTCAGTCAGTCCCAAATATCTTGGCGAGCGAGTCGATCCACCCAGCTAGAAAAATTTAACACAGATGTTTTTGTTTCTATATCGAAGAAGAAGAAAAAAAAAAAGGAATGTTGTTTATACGACGACTGACATTGATGGGTGATCACAATTCTAGGTTAACGATTAGTCTAATAATTATTAAGTATATTAGCCGATTGATTCATAAATAATGCAATGAAGTATAAGTAGTACTGTGTGTTTATGTCCAATCTCACGAGAATATAACGAGCATTATTACTCATTAAATACTGTTTGAATTTATGTTTTCGAATCATTATTCACGCTTTGTTAGCAGTACTTGTAAGGGACGACCCGCTCTCTGACGAGTGCGTGCGGAATAGGCACGCGATTCTTATTCCTCGATATTGCCGACGAGTTTCCCCAGGGATCGAGTGACGTTCCCGATCCGATCGTCCGAGAGAATCGCTTCTCGTTGTCATTTTCGCGGTTCCAATAATGCCCTGCATTATCCTCGAGCCACGGCCATCGCACCTGTCACCTTCAGGCTCCTTATTCCATTTTACTCTACGCTCCTAACTTTTACTCGCCTTCCTGTCTCCTGACGTTACTCCTGCGTTACCTTACATTTACTTTATGTTATGTTATATTACGTTACCTTATATGTCTTGCGTTTCTTTTCTCGTTTTGCGATTGTCGCGCGACATTTATATAGAAAAGGCTTTGAGGCTGTAATGCTATAACCGCAACGAGCGAATGCTAAGAGTAAGGAAAGACGACGGTCCATTGTAAAACGTACGAATGGAATGCCGAAGAGTACGAGTATAGTATATATTCGCGTTAATAATACTTTCGCAAGCATTATTATAAAAAATAAAAAAATAAAATAAAATAAAAAATAGGAAAAAGTATCCTGACATAACGGCGATACGGTATCACGATATACACTTCGTCAATAGTCTCGACACGATTCCTCCTCGTTTGTTCCCTATTGCTCTGGACGCTACTGCCTTGGATCGCGTTGTGCTTTCCTCTAGCCTCGAGCGTATCCGATTCTTCCTGACTGCTATGCGCGTTGGTTCTATTTCTTTCTTGGGGGGGGAGGAAAAAAAGAGCGTCTCTGTAAAACCAACCAGCAATAGCAGAATCCAAAGGAACAGAACGAATTGACAAAGCCGTACGCGAGTTCACGAGAAATAAGCCAAAGTGCAAAAGCAAAGTTTAGTAATGAGATATTGAGCGACAAAGCGCGCCGAATTCTTCATCGCGCTGCCATGTATATCTTTCCTTTCCTATTTAACTGCGGCTACGTATTTGCCCGAACGGACAAGAACGACTCTCTCGTTCGAATTGTCAAACTCCGAAGTTACCTCGACACGCACTGTACTTTCTGGTATTTAATATTTTTCTCGTGACTTCGTAGCGGATCTCGCGCCGTCGAAAGCGTTTCCGACGACATTGTCCTTGCAACAAACGAACGTCTCGCGAACGATCTCGTGTGCCACGCTTAAGGCATCCGTACGAGAAGTCGATGCGATTCAACGTATCGTCCCCCATTTCGTTTTAAAAAAATGTACGATCGACACGTGTCATCCTGTAAATCGTTATCGCACGTTAAAGAGACAGTACTATTGTTACGATTGAAAATCCCTGAAGTACGTTCCTCTACAGTGCAATGTAACGTCGTATTCGGGTGTGGCCCCTGGCGCCTCTGTCTTGAAGACGAGGTAGCTCTGCGACGCTTTTCTCTCTTTATTTTTCTCTCTTGTTTGAGATATAACAGAACGTTCTTGTGCATCGTCGATTTATGGGATGACGACGTGTGCCACGCCCATAGACAATACACGACGAGCACACGTAGCGCTCGTTGAAGTGAATGTCGTCGTAGCCATCGTCATCGTCGAGAGATACGTCGACGAGAGGGTTGATACTGTATCCGCCCTCGATTCGATCATGCGAAAGGACTTTGCCGACGCGAGGATAAAAAAAAAAAGAACACGCACAGCAGTTTTCAGTAATGTCGACACGGAAAGGTTGCCTTCTGGCATTCATCCTATTTTAGGCATAGCATATTTTTCTAACGTATATCGCAATATCGGATTAATCTTGCCTAGCGAGAGCGACCGAGTGGGAGAGGAGAGCAAGAGAGAGAGAATTTGAGTGAGTGTGAGAATGGAAAAGGGAGAGAGAGAGAGAGAGAGAGAGAGATAAATGGTGGCATGTGTGAGGATATGAACGTGTGCTCTGTAAGTGGGTGGTGCAAGGTAGAATGTGTGAATGGAAGAGAAAGAGAAATTTAAGGAAAATTGCAAGAAGAATCAGAGAGAATAAAAAGGGGAGACGATACATTGAAAAAAAAAAAAAAAAAATGAGACCCACACGGATTATCAGCGACGTTTGTATTCGGCTGACTACATAAGGACGTAACGATGCTTGTAATTATTAAAATTGATATTAGTACGGTTAAGCGATTAAAAGTAACATCAACTTTAATATATTATATGATTACGATTACTATCCTTCGCAATGCTTTAGACCTTAGGTTCATCTAGGTAAACGGATTTAGCGTATTTACACGAACCACTTCCTTCTGCCATTGAATATCCTGATCCATGTCGTTTCCTCTATTTTCCTCTCCGCCCCAAAGACCTTCTAACACAGTTCTCGAACATTTATATAATTATAGTGGACTATATTTATGTATATTTAAAAACAAAAATATATATAAATTCATCACCCTACAAATATGTGGCGACCTTCTTGTTGCCCTTGTCGTTAGGATTTTGTTGGGAGAGAACGAGGATAGTGATGAATAAGTCTGGTGAAACGTCGATAGCGAATTTCTCTTTTATTCGTACGTAACAAAATGTCCTTCTACGATAATAAATCTTCTACCGTTTATTGTATTATGAATGTAATAACAAATCAACAACTGTGCTTTGCTAAACGGAAACCTGTCTCGCTGGAGACTCGTCTTCCCTTGAGCAAAGTTGGTGGCCGGTGCCAGCGGAATCTCATTGTAGTTTCACTTCAATACAATCGCATCGCACCGTGCCGAACGCATTTAAATAATTTTACTATTCGCATTCGCGAAATAAATGAAAGAACCAAGAGATAATTATCGATACGCTCTATTAATACCAAAAACGTCACATACGACAAGTATATATAATATTGCTAAATCATCAAGCGATTCTTTTTCTATTCATTGATTTCACATGATGCGATATAAATTCGGAAAGAGTAGTTTCCCTGCGTACTGTCCAAAGTACGTTTACATTATGGAGATCGACAAGAAAAATTGATCGACGTGCATCTCAATTATGCCAAATATTATATGTATATTACATCCATGTACAGTGTGTCCGAATCTACATGACTACCGAGTTCTCGCTTGACAAGAACATTGACTCGGACTGAGTGAAACACAGCTAAAACGTATCAAAGTCGTGTATAATAATGTCCTGGCTAGTTGTCGCCCTTCAGGTTACGACGGTGCATCTGACTAGAAGTCACGTTGGCAAGATACTTGTGAAAAGAACGCGCTTGCTGAGGATGAGCCTCCTGCTTGACAGCTGAATTTTGAACCGGCAGTGGTGGGGAGGACGCAGGCGTCAGGATACCGAGATCACTCTCGCATTCAATCTCCGTCTCGACGAGGACCGATCGCTCCTGCTTGATGTAGCCGTGATCCTCGATCGCCGACACCTTCGCCTTCGGCACTTTGACAAACGTCATCGGAACGCCGTTAAACGAGCCGACGTCGCCGACCTGTCTGCTCTCGGTAGTCTCGTGCTCGATCTCCGACTTTACAGCCATTTTGTTGTTGTTTTGTAAGACTTTTATTTGCAGCACGGAACCGCCGTGCTGTATGGCCGCGTGATTCTTCAGGCCGTAGGGCGTCTTGTAGCTCTTCCCGCAGGGACATTTAAAAGCCTTTCGTACCCTGCGCCGAGGAGAAGCCATGAAGATACGAGCCTTCTAAGAGCACTTCCGACCGCGGCTATTTCATCCTTTTTCAAGTTAATATACTTTGAACTTAATATTAGTAAAGTTTAGCCATGACTCTAAATAGAAGATTGGGCATTTACTCGGGCGTATGAGCATGATAGTAGTACGTACTTGCCATCGTTCTTATGACCATTCTTCGAGTGGTACTTTATCCCGTTAACGTTTTTGTAACGCTTTTTGCATCCAGGCACAGGACAGGCAAACGGCTTATCTGTATTGTTATTCTGGTTCGTTGTATTCTGACTCACAACCCTGAAAGCAAGAGTTTAGTTTTTCCACGAATACTCAACACTTTTATATCTTTGGGTTCGATATGTAATTATTAATAGCGTCATTTTCCTTCTGTCCGTCGTCGCTGGATTTTCATGTCCGATGACTCTCGAGGTTTCTTTATCGATGCTGAATAACATGTGACTACTACAAACAGCGTGGTATGTCTTAAATGAAAAATTGCATATTATATAATTTATACCATGCTTGAATAGCGAAAATCAAATCGCACGAGAACATTACAGTGCGGCGGCTGAAATTTTTTAGAAATAACTGTGCACGGCGATATACAAATGGGAAGCGATTAAGCATACTTGATAAATAAATAATAAGAAGGGACGATACAGTGTGAACATTTGAATTTTTGAATGACGCGGTATAGTGCGCGCCAGTTTGCAATAGCAATAGGATTTGTTTTTAACAGGTGAATCTTTTTTTAAATATATTTTTATCAACTAAGAGAGTATGTGAGTCGGTATGAATTTGGTGGCGAATAATATGCGGCTGGTGCTTCATATGTGTTGAAAAAGGTTTTACACAGAGGAAAACGAATATTTGTATTTCGTTTACGATTTTGAAGGCTTCCTATGGTATGTACATAATAAATTTGTCTAACAGAGACATAGTCGATTTGCAATAGGGACATAGGACAGAAGCCACAGCAATAATTACACCAGAACTCACGTTAGCGAGAAATAGTAATTATAGATGTACCTGCTGCCATAGCGAAGAATGAAGTCAGCGGAGAACTCCTCGGAAGTAGTCCAAGAGTCATTGCTGTCTTCAGGTTCACTAACAAAGTCCTCACCCTCTTCTGCCTCACTGCCTATATTATCATGTACTTTGTGATAACATGGTACGGTGGTCATCAAAAACAACTTAATCTCTTATATTAGTATTCGTTAGACATTCCGCATTGGATTGACGTGCGACAGGAATTAGTCTCGAGTATTAATCGCGAGTCCAAATGACGATCATTGCAGGATCTGCGGAGTTAGCTAATTCAATATGTGGGATGTTTTTCTTTGACGATTAACTTATTAGTATTTGTAAAATGTTCCTAGTATCCAACGAAATTGCGAGGATAAATTGTTTGAAAAGTAACGTTAATGTAACACAAAGAAGCTTATAAATGATCGAAGAGAAAACTAAATGTATGAGCTGTGGACATGCTAAGGTCACGACAATGCACAGACATACACATGCTGATTTTCCTGCCGAGTCTTTGCATGCCCTCATTTTTGTTGGTTAGGGCAATCTTTCCCAACATGAGGAACAATATCAATGATAACATTTGTACAAATTAGTGACAAGCCTGGGATGGAAACAGCAGTTTACCAGTGGGAGTGTTGTTCTTGTTGCGTAAAGATGAGGGTAAGCACGTTTGATTGGAACGTGCCTGATGAATGGGCTTGATGCCTTCTTTCCTTGCAGCATCAGTCAAAAACCGCAAAACGTAACTCAATGGTATACAAGTGGGCTGCTGCTGTTCTGTCTGCTCCACGACACGAGGATCATAATCTAAGAGATAATTATCTTCAATTTAATAGTTTGAAGTTCTTTATGATTCTCCATACTTCCAATGTTTGCAACATGGTAAGACACGATGAAATTAGAATAAAAGTATGTAAAAAGGTTTACCTTCTCAAATTATTAGGTTATGTGATATATAAGTTAAACTTTGTTTTACTGTGGGCCACACACTATATTTCATTGTCTAATACTGTTCTGTACAATTTCTTTCAAAGGATGTAAGTGAATGTCTCTTATTTAGAAGATATCATTTACAGATTTTCAAGATTAAAATTGCTTATAATATACGCATTTATACTTGTATTTTCCGAGATATTTCTTGAAATGAAATAATAAGACTATGGAACTTAAAACATTTCAAGGAAATTAGAATCTGTGATAATGACTGTTACTGTCAGAGGGATCATTAATAATGTTTCCATTTCAATAAAATGAAACGTCCATATGAGATAATGAGTATCTCATAAGAAGCATTAGAATCTTAAAAATAATATTTTTAATGCTTGAAGAGCTGTCATTTAAGTCTCTAATGCCGAGTATAGAAATATTAGCTGATGCTGGACGGAGCCCAGATAACCTCGAAAGGCACATAACCTCGAAGGATGAATGCGATGCAAACGCGACATTGTTGTCCGTCGACAGGAATCACATTTTACCGATATGCGTTTCCTCGATGTGTTGAATTAAGTCCCCCAAACTCTTGAAAGTAAGGCCGCAACCGTTGAATTTACAGACGTTCAACATAAATACAGCCATATCAACGGAGACTGCAACCGGGACCGAAGTCACGTAAGAGACCAAATCTTCAACTTCGATTTGATGGTTTTAATACAAACAAAGCATCTGTAGGTTATATAGCAAAGATGATTCAATAAAGTACAGATTTTTAATAGGCAATAAAAATCTTGAATTTTATCAATAACAATGTTCAAGATATGATTCGGTTTCTCGTTTGATCAGGAATTGCAGACGAAAAATATCCTCGGCTAAATTCGGTTGGTCGATAAAGGGAGCCGGGTCGTGAGAAGCGGTGATTGAGCGGTTGCACGGAATCTGCGCCGTTCCGTTCTCTGCCCGCAGTCGGATAGGTCGACTCCCCACCGCTCCGTTCATTGTTCACTCACCAATTCAACATTCCAAAGGCCGGGTCGCCTCGCCTCCTCTTCGACACTGCTCTTTGGTAAGTCCGAGCGCCTGCTGGCTGGCAAGTGAGTAAAAATTTTCACGGGTACAAGAAGTTGCTGAATAGAGGATCAGGGAAACACCTTCTTTCAGTGGATAAACGAGGATTGCGCGTTCTCGTCAAGTCGTAATAACGTGTAAATACGGAGAAATCGTTAGTGTCTGAAAACAAGAGATCTCAGGAAACGGCCATTTTCTAGTGTGCTTCACTGGAACATTCGCGTGTTCGCCGGTGCCCTTTTCTCCTGTCTTAACTGCCAATCTCATTTTGCACAAATTTTCTATAAAAAATTTCGTTTCTCTCGCGTGGTACGACCTTTTCTTATAGCTCCCGCTTTGCTGTTACGTAACCGGGTCGATTCGGCTCGAATCTCTAGTCAGTGACCTCCAGGCATTCGTGAAACATTTACGAACTTGCTGGAACTTGAGTAAATCGCGTACATTATCACGAGCAACGTATTTTCCTTTCAGGTTTCGTGCAAACAGACCACCCAACAACTAAACGTCATCATGTACGCCTGCACCAGATTCATTGCACCGGTCGCCAGGTCCACCGTAAGTACATTGATTCTATCTTGTATCTCTTTCTATTTCTCCCTCTATCTATATCGGCCTCCCTCATTTACTCTTCCTTAGTTTTCGATCTGGTGCTCCATCTTCTTTTTTCACTGACTTCCATTTTATTTCCAACCACTCTTCACATAGCACAGGAAGCCCCACCATTATATAACGCGCAACGTGTTCAACCCTTTCATTCTTCTTTTCAGCTGGTTGCTGGAACCAAGACCTACCTCAGACCTTTGAGCAGTGCTGTGCTCAGTCAAAGCCAGTCCCTGCAACAGCAGAACCAAAGGCAGAGCTCTAGCTTGGTGAGTATTAGCTCAAGATTCGCGTTGCATAATCTATTGGTAGACAAAGTTACATAAGTTGAAATTTGAGAATGAAATGAGAGCTTGAAGCTTTTTGCCATTTGACATTATGTTTAATGTTTATTCTTTTCCAACTCTTCAAAGAAAAATACTTCGAATGGATTGTTGAGTTAGACCTTAATCAAGTTTTTTTTAAATTTACCTATTTATGTTTCAGTTACCTGCTGTACGTAGCTTCCAGACATCTGCTATTAGCCGTGACATTGACTCTGCGGCTAAGTTTATTGGTGCTGGTGCTGCCACCGTTGGTGTTGCTGGTTCCGGTATGTACTTATTGATATTCTATGTTAATACCCATTCTCATATTCTATTATGCAACAGTTACATAACCTAAAGACGCGAAACTCACGTGCATTCAAGTCTACATTGTTTAATGGATTTACTTTATTTACTTGTGTTGCTATGTTGAAAATTTATGTCAATCAATCATATTTGTAAAAAGCAACTACTTTTTTCAACTGTAGCTATATTACATCCATCAGATACTTGACATCAATTTGTTTATCATTTTCATGAAATTAGTCCTTTTAATGGATAAATTGTTATTTCTAACTTACAATGGATCTAGTTATGTTCTTTATAAGAATATAATATAATGCTAATAATACCTGAAAAATCTATAGCTTGGATAAATTACAAAATGTTTAAATATGCTCTTAAAAACTACTTCAAATTACAACCAGGGTATTGCTGTCCTATCCCTGTTCCGATGTACCCTTACCTAACCTAACCTGTGCAATTCCTAATCCTAATTTTAATTATCACATTCCTTTGCTTACAACCATATCTATTCTAATTTCCAGGAGTTGGTGTTGGTTTGGTGTTTGGTTCTTTGATAATTGGTTATGCCCGAAATCCTTCCCTGAAACAACAAGTATTTGCCTATGCAATCCTTGGCTTTGCTTTGTCCGAAGCAATGGGTCTTTTCTGCTTAATGATTGCCTTCCTCATGTTGTTTGCCCTTTAACCCATGCCTTATCCTACACCTCAACTACAATTGTTCTGTAGGATCAATGTAATTGGGCATCGTCCCATTATAAAAAATGCATGTATATACAACTAACCATGATTAAATCATACAAGGTACGCGCCTTGGCATATCTCTAACTTATACTAAGAATAACAACAATAAATGAATGAAACTCTTGACTGATATTTATTGATCCATATTTTCTTGTGTGTTTCAGGTGCTGGAATTGGATCAGTGTTTGGTTCTCTGATCATCGGTTATGCCAGGAACCCTTCCTTGAAACAGCAGCTCTTCTCGTACGCCATTCTGGGTTTTGCCCTGTCTGAAGCCATGGGTCTCTTCTGTCTTATGATGGCTTTCCTGCTTCTCTTCGCCTTCTAAGCCATTAATCCTCAATAAAATACCAATAGTTTTAGAGCGTCACTGCCAAGGCAGCGTCTTCTAGCTGCGTGGCGAGGCGGCAGCTGCCTCTGGTGCGCGGGAGCCTGTGAAATTATTAAGGAAATCAGTAACTGTGGTTCGTCGGGAAACGACGGTGCAATTAATAGGCATGTAAAATCGGGGTTGTACACGTTCTAACATCATTCGAACCGTCCGATCCTGACGGCCTGCGGGACTCGTTCATAATTATTTCATGGCCTACCGTCTCATGTAGCGTAACTCACATTGTTATCGAGTAATGAATTTCAGTGTAATGAACGAAATAGGACGTTACTGAAAATTTATTAAGACAAAGAAACCTCACATGCACATCCATATACATATGACATGCAGGCACGAATCGGGGTAACGCTCACCGCGCCAAGAGTGTCTTGTTACCCGTGTCTCAATCATCTTTCCTATGTCGTTGAAGAAGCACGATATTATTGAGGTAACTCTTCGCAAGAGAAAAGAAACAAAGCTGTACAGTCATATGCAATAAAACATCTTTGACGTGGGAATATCATCGCAGTCGTCGTCGTTGCTGTCGCCGTCGTAGTTATCTCCGTGGTCGTCATCATCGTCGTCCTTTCATTGTTTTGCTGCTGTCGATATCATGGTGTTACCGTGTATTTCAACGTACGCATTGAACACCTCTTGTCGAAAATAAAATATATGATGTACACTACATGATCTCTTTTGTGAATTTTATGTACGTCTTATCGTCCATCAATGGTTGCTATTTTAAAGTATTGTAAAACTTGAATGAATACTATGCAGTACTCGATCAATAATATGGATTTTATTTAAAATATAAAGGTAGATCAAAGAGGAATATAATCAGTCATTGCAAAATATAGTCATTTATTTCTATTAAATATCTCAGGCATAGAGTTTTCGGTTAAAACGAATATCTCTGGTAGATCATTTCCAGAAGTAATATTCTATGTCGGAAATGTTTATTCTGTAACAGATATATTGTTTGCTTAACTATTTATAGTAATTACAAAAAAATTGAAATTCAACATTCGAAGGAGTTTGCATGTATGATAAATCGTTTTTGAAAATATGACAATAGCATTTTACACAAGTGCATTTGCAAAGTGACTTGAGTAAGTACAACTGGTTGAATCCGCGGTGATTGACATACCTTATAAAGTAGCTTATATTTTAAAGAAAGAGAACGGTACGGAGTGGTGCAGTATTGGAGAATATATGCGGGTCAAAGTAGGATGAGGTCTACCCTGTGGGCTTGTTCTAAGCCGTGTATAGGCTCCAACAATGCTAATATTTCACTGTATGGGATACAGTCGTAAATTTGAAGCAACAGAACGAATTCTAGGAAAAGATATTAATTTGTTGATGACATCTTCTCCGTAGACCCGTTGTAACTACGTCGCCATGCCACTTGCAATGTTGACTGGTTCTCCAATACTGTTTGATGGAAGCATGTTGAGTTGTTCCAAAAGACTTTCTCGCTCCCTTAGACAAGCCCATGCCTTTTCTTGTTCCTTCTTTGTTAAACTAACTTTCCGCTGTTTTGAGATGATGAGCTTTTTATAGTGTTCCACCACCTCGTTGTCAGCTGTGCTAATTCGTCGTTTTAGTGCCTGCCTTTTACTCTCCTCTTGTGCTAGACTTAGCAATCTTTTTAACTGCGTTACATTGTGACTAGACAAAGCAGAAAGCTCTTGCTGACATCTCTTAATTTCTGCTAAGATCTCATCATCATCCTGACTCCTTTTTTGGGTATCTGCTTCCAGGATACCCTGCTCCACAAGTTCCTTGTGCATTCTAAGTTCCAAATTTATAGAATTCTGAATAGTTAAATCTCTGAGAACAGGAGGATCGCCATCTCTAAACAGCTTGTTCTCTGTGTTGTTATTTGCCACAAATACGTTTTCTTCTAAAAGTGCTGATACCAGCCTTTGTGTAAGAGGTCCTGCTATACCATTAGATTTCTTGTCAGCTTTTGATACCAATAGAGAGACATCCGAACGGTTTTTTTTCTTCTCCTTGTTGGGATTAGCAGCATCTTCCTCCTGGAGTAGGTCGCTATGTGCCCACAACAAGCTATAATGACGTCCTAGTGGTGGTATCTTTTTGAATTCTCCAATGTCACTGTGTGTACCAACCAATTCCTCCAAAAGTTTTATATCATCAGGCATAATATCTGTACAATATGGATCTACTGATGCCCAAAACTTATTGGGTGTATCGTTTTTGGGCAGTAATAATTTTGGAACATCTGACTTGGAACCCTCGACTCTTACAATTTCATGGGGATTTGGTACAATTTGATTTCCTGAGCTTCCCATGCTTTTCTGTTTAAACAGTTTCGCTGGAAGTGGAGTCTGTGCCTTAGTTGTAATGTCTTTCGGTTTTAATTTATCATCACGGATTTTCCTATCTAACAGTGACAACCCTTTGCCACTCTTAGATCTTTTGTCCCTGCGTTCCTCTGCTGAGGACAGATTCGCAATCTCATCTTGAAGCATACGGCTGCGAACAACCACTGCAGAGAGAAGTGTTTCCAATTCAAGTTGCAACGTGTCCAGATCTTCCATGCCAACTCCTTCTTCTGCACTACGTTGTAAAATGCTACAGTATCGTGGAAGATGTTTAGCATTGTCAACTGTCTTGATGATAGGCAACGTAACAGCCATTTCGGTACCCTCAGAACTTGTGTCAGAGTTAACTGATGGCACTTGGTTAGACTTTCCTCCTTCTCGGACCTTTACAAGAGCCTTTCTGGAACTCTGTTTACCTTTGCCTGACATACTCTTTGACTTTCCCCGCAAAGTGGAGCCTGTCATAAAACGTATACAGTGTTAAGCGTTGATCATTTCGTTTAGTATAACTTAGCGCACACTTCGTAGTACACACACCTTGTGTACTAAGCGCACTGACAATTACCACTGTATTATCGAATTGTTAAATATTATTATAAAAAAAATACTCCTGTTGCGTATAAACTCCTGTGCCCTTATCTTATGATTAGTCATAGAATGGATCATTTACAGATGGCAAAAGTTGACGCCGCCATTTCTAATATATATCTGTATCTATCTCTGTCACGGTCCTGTTCATCAACGACATCTACACATTGTACAAGCATTCGGCTTACTGTATAAAGTCACTTTTTTTATTGATAGCGAAAAAAGGGGTATTCCATGAAATGGAAATGCTCTCTTCACCAGTAAGTATAAACTTTCCAAAGTAAAAATCAGTTTCGCAAGTTTCTTTATGTTTAGTATGCATTATGATGCGAAAAGAGTCCTTTGAAAATAGAACCGACGTTGCAACACAGGAGCAACCATTTAGAGTAAATGTCGTGTCAGTTTAAACTGATTATAGAATATGATAAACGTGATGAAAAACAGTAGCTGAATGCTTCTATTTTCTTTGTATGTTTTTTTATCTTACGTTATTTGCAGTTTGTTATTATTAATCTAATATTTTCAAATGTTTCACTTCTGCATGTTTCATTCAGAGATGAGTAGAGAGATTGCCAATGAGCCGATTTTCATGGTCCAAGTTTTATTTCGACGTAAGTCAATTGGAGTAGAGAGGGTCCAGTGAGGTCTCTGTCCAAACCGCTAGTTACTATGCCTCATCTATTTGTATCATGGTTCATTCATGCTGTTATCTCTGGTTGTCTCGTTCTTGATGCGTTTATGAACCGCATCTGCCGCTGACGACACAGGCCGTAATACAGGCAGATAAGCAAGTGCTACATGTGGTTAGAATTAAAACATAAGATTCGACTGATATAAACCTTGAATAACGATGATAAAAAGGACCTTATTATTTAATTATTATACGGTTCGTAATAAGCAAAATCGTGGTTGTGTCATTCTGTGTAAAGGTATATGAGCCGCGTTTGTGTTACACGTGATTACACCTCTCCATGCTCCCCACCGATTCTTGGAGTTTCAACTAGATACTATTAACTAAATGTACAAGAACTTAATTTACTGCCAAATATTATTCTTTGTTTTATTAGAAAAATACACGATATAGCTTGGTGGCTATGCTTTTAGTATGATTATATCTGACACTTGATTGAGGTTATAATCATTTAGAATTAGAGGGTATAAGTGACTTCATATTAGATAATACAACAATGAGAAATAAGAATTATGAGGATCTTGATCCGGATGATTCGAGATTTCGAATTACACCGTACCAACAGATGTTGGCTTCATGCACTGGAGCACTTGTCACATCAATCGTTGGTAAGAACATATATTTATTGATGTAAATTCTGTTCCATTCTTAATTTCAATAACTCTTTCTTTTATAATTACATTGCAAATATCGACATATTCAAATTTAATTCATAATATCATTTACTAAAGTAATAATTTGACAGTTGATGAATCGTTTTGTTGTTTTATTAATGATATTATTGGATGTTATACCTGTAAAAAATAAGTAGTCAAGTGATGTAAATCATAATCTTTTAAGACTGGTTGCACTGGCATTAACTAAAATTTAAGTAAGGGTTATATGCTTAATTTTGATATTTGAATGGTCATTGTGGTCTTTTTCTTCTTTATTAAATTACTCAATTAATGGCATTACAATATGTTAATTTAATTGTGTAACAGTATACAAAAAATATTTGTTTTCAGTTACTCCACTTGATGTGGTCAAGGTTCGACTACAATCACAACAAAAGGCTATGCTTTCCAACAAATGTTTCCTCTATTGTAATGGCTTGATGGACCATTTGTGCCCTTGTCCAAACAGTAAAGACCTGTTATGGAGTAAAGGAAATAGAAAATTCAATGGTACCTTGGTAAGCATAAAAATTACAATGAGCAAGAAAATTTACTAGTTTTCATTCCACATGGTATACACTGTCATTATATTTTTTAGGACGCTTTCGTGAAAATAAGTAAATCAGAAGGTGTTCGTTCTTTGTGGAGTGGATTAAGTCCAACTCTTGTCCTAGCAGTACCTGCCACAATAGTATATTTTGTTTCCTATGAACAATTGCGACTATTTTTTAAGGTAATGTATACTGGATACATCTGTTAGTGATTCGTTTTAATTGGCTAATGATAGTGACTTTTTCAATTTTTAATGCTATTATATAGGATACATATAATAAAAAGATAAATAAAGATATAACAAAAGGAGAACAACCATTCTGGATTCCTGTACTAGCTGGTGGTATTGCACGTATTTGGGCAGCAACATTAGTAAGCCCGTTGGAACTTATAAGAACAAAAATGCAATCACAGAAACTTAGTTACAACGGTACAAAGAGAATATTACAGTAAATAGAACCCCAATGAAATTTTCGAGAATACATTTTATAACATTTAATTTACAGAATTAGTCCATGCATTGAAAACGGTTGTGAAATATAATGGGGTATCAGGCTTGTGGATGGGCTTGAGTTCAACACTTCTTCGTGATGTACCCTTTAGTGCAATATATTGGTTCAATTATGAAACCATAAAGCGAATATTCCAAGACTCTCACAAATCCTTTACATTTAATTTCGTTGCCGGTGCTATGGCTGGATCCGTAAGTTTTTACGGTTAGATCCGTAAATTTCTTCTTTTTTTTTTTACTCGTAATTCTACATTCATACTCATGGTTTGTTTTATGGTGTGTTTATTCTCTGAGCTGAATTTTTATATGTACAGATAGCAGCCTTAGTGACCCTTCCATTTGATGTCGTGAAGACACACAAACAAATTGAAATGGGTGAGAAGCTAATTTATTCTGGTAAGCGGGAATCGCAAAGTCATTCATTTCATATACTGTGACATTAAACAAAAAAATTATTTTCCACAAGCGTGCAAGTGTAATCGCATGATTGACATATATTTTATATTGTCTTTGCATGATTGTATGATGTGGTATAAGGTTCACATTTTTTTTTTTCATTTTTTCTCATTCAAAAATGATTATGCTCAAGCTGTTTCATGTTTTATTAGGAAATATTATTAAAATACTGTACTATAATATTGTAACTATGTTCCGCAGATAAACCTAGACGTAGCAGGGGCACATTGGCGATAATAGAAAAGATCTATAATCTAAATGGTATAAAAGGTTTATACGCAGGACTAATTCCTCGGATAGTTAAGGTAGCACCAGCGTGTGCAATAATGATTGCGACATATGAACATGGAAAACGCTTCTTTTATGCGTATAATGCTGAACGAGCATTAAATTTAGAGAATAATGTACATTTGTTAAAACACAAGCGTGATGGTGTTCAGTAAATCTAAAAGAATTAGCGGTCAACCACGACATTGCGCATAACAATCGTACTTTAAATAAAGAATTTTATTTTAAATCGTTTCGGTATTTTTTTTTAATTTCATTTTTACTACTTGCTTCAACTTCCTTAAATACTTCAAAAATGTTAATAAATTGTATTTTCGTTAAAACTTTTATATAAGTTTGTGTCTCAGTTCTTCGATCCGTCTCATCTTTACCAACATGGTCAACATCCAGAATCAATGGACCAACAATTTTGTATCATCACCAAGGTAAGCTACATAATGATTGCTTTGTGACCGCCTACATTCCGAGCTCCTTTGTTAGTCTAATGGTGAAGTTGATACCGTTCATGACTGCATGTTAGTGATAGGATTGTAAATTGTTGAATTTAATTATTTGTCAAGAGTTTGACGATTTGGTGACTATTCTTGGTTTTATCTGACAACGGTGAAGCTAAGAGGAGGGTAATGTGTTTTTGTATGCAATAAAATGTTCCGAAAGCACGAAATGAAACGTAATAATGAAAATGAAAAATTTCTCAGGATCACAACCCGGCAGTACTAGCCTTAATTTTGAATCTTCTATGAGTCCTGGAATTGCAGACGATGAATCACTGTTTACATCTCATAAGCAGCGTACCATGGATGTGGCTAGGACGTATAGCAACAATTTCGAAAAGAATGCCGGACATTCAGCTGACACTCGAGACGACAAGACCTTATTTAAATCCGAACGGCGATTCGTTTGTTTTGATACTCTAACGATTCAAACTTATCGTTCATTGAACGTTCGTACGGTACCAAGCTCTGTCTGCCATCCAGAACCTCCTTTGAGGACTAAGAGAAATGTTTTTCTGACACAGAAGGACTTGCCAGAGAATATGCAGGAGAAGGAACAGTCAAAGATATATCCTTCAAGTATTGATAGTTCTGTTTCTGGTGAGGACATTCTGAGAGAGTCACGTGTGGACTCTAATCCGTTGATAATGAATAATGAAATTCAACTTGAAGATCAATCACAGGAACAGTCTGAATCTAGAGTGATGGTTACATCCACCTGTTCGTCTTGGAGCTCAACTTCAGGATCGGTTCCAATCTGTACACAAAACTCATTGTCTTCTTTGATAAATGAAAGTTTGCTTGCACAAAAGGTTTCTGAATTGTCCGTAAGTGAGGTTGAAGAAGGAAATACATCCAGTTGCACCCCAAAAGAGAGCAGTGCACCTCCTTTCGGAAAGAGTAGCTTTCATAACTTGGTGGGAAGGTCTCCTGCTGTTCCCTCGATGTTTACTGTGTCTTGCAACAAAACAAACGTTTCTTATGATGAAGATGTAGGTGATCACCCAGTGGACTATAGTAAAAAATACGTCGAGCGCAATTCATTGAGACAAAATAATGTTTTCCAGGAAGCTGAAGTAAATCAGTCTTCCAAAAAGGAGTTTTCCGATAAAGATAAAGTTGATTTATTTGGGGATTACGCAGAAACGGATTTGGATCAACCTACAGATTATAGTCTGCGGTATGCAGAGGATGATACAGATGAGGATGAGAAACAGAATTCTGGTTACTTTCCTGGGAGTGAACAGGAGGATACTGTTAAAACGTATTGCACCGAAGGAACACCTTATGAAACTCCATTCAATTTTTCAACAGCAACATCCATGTCAGACTTGTGTCAAGAGGACTCCAAAGATAGTGATTTATCGAAAAAGGTTCCAAAGAAGATATCAGAAGTAAAAGATAAAGTGGACGTGCCTTTTAAGCCTGTTGAGCAACGCTGTCAAGGACCTCCAACCGTAGCTAGCAGAGAATTGAAAATTCAAAAGAACATATCGGAACTCAGTTCTGGACTTATGTCACCAGAAAAGCCCATAAACTATTGTGAAGAGGGAACTCCTGGCTGTTTTTCAAGAGTTAGTTCTCTTAGCTCTCTAGGCAGTGCATTAGTCTCACAGAGTAATGTTGCTAGCAAAATAATTTTAGAAGAATCACCAATTAAAGACGAAGTAATATCAATATCACGTAGTGATACCAGCAGTGCAAGGACATTAGAAAACAGAGTGCCTTCCGCAACCACAGAAACTGATGGTTCCCCAGAGACGAAGAGCGATACACGTGCTATTGATAAGGAAGGTTTGTTTCAAATATTAGATTAATCATAAAATATATATACTAACATAGTTATGTCATGCATTTTAACTAACGTGGTGATCATTTCAGGAAAAATGGTAACGTTTGGTGGAGAAGATTACTATGCTGAACAGACCCCATTAATGTTTTCTCGGTGTAGTTCTCTTGGTTCACTCAGTGGCTTTGAACAACATTCTATTCATGATGATCGCAGTTCTATTATCAGTGATTTTAGGTAAAATTTCCAACTTATTTAAAGCATTATCTACCACGCTAACTTTTATGGTTTTTTTAGTCGTAGAACCAGTGGTGTAGTATCACCAAGTGAATTACCGGACTCGCCAACACAAACAGTTCCACCTAGTCCAAGGCATCACAAGATACAATCGACAGAATTTTCAGCCAGAATTCAAGAGGAAGTGGCGAGACCTCCTTTACGACATTTGTGTAAGCAACAATTAAAAACTTTCACACATATAAATTGTGACGTGATTTTTCGAATCACGGTCCCAAGGCGGCTCCGGTTACCGATACAGATAACGTTCTCGATTTCTGGTTCCCTGCGGGTCGCCACCCTGCTCAGAAGCTAGGCTCTCGGGTTGATTCGTATAGTTATGTCAAAGCTCTCGTAAGATTTCGTCATTGTTTAGTTGAGGTCGAGGTGCTCGAATCTGCCGTGGGGAGATGCTCTCGACGTACCGAGTTGCCCGGCAGAGGAGAGTACCCGACGGAGACGTCTCCACGGACCGGCAGAAGCCCGGGTGAGATACCGGCGCCCCGCTGGAGATGGGCAAAGGGCTGTAGAGCGGGCGGAGGAAGTTGCGATATGGTTAAGGGCAGGGGAGGAACCTCCTGCCCGAGTTAAGGATGTAGGGCCCAGCTGTCGCCCGATGCCCTGGGGAAGCGGCCGTGGAGGATCTCCACAGATTACGTACCGATTCGCTAAAGAACGCTCTCGACTTGGTTTAAAGGGACGACTCTGGCGCCCAGCTGTCACCCGATGCCCTGGGGAAGCGGCCGTGGAGGATCTCCACAGATTACGTACCGATTCGCTAAAGAACGCTCTCGACTTGGTTTAAAGGGACGACTCGAAGGAGATAGA